TGGGGGGAGTGTCATGTGTGCCTGTGGGGGGGCATGTGTGATGCAGGGGAGGCATGTGGGCCCTGTGGTGGAAAGCTGTGGCCTTGTAGGGGGTGTTGTGGGCTCTGCGGGGGGAGCAGTCCATGTGCTGTGCAGGGGGTCTGCACCCTATGGGGGAACAGAGGACCCATCCCTCCTGAGCAGCCACCTCCACACTCACAGTCCCTACACAATCCACCCTCACAAACCCCTCACCCACATACCCAGCCACAAACCCCAAACCCCTGCACAAGCCCCATACCCCACAAACCTCACCCCCATGAACCCTACACCCACCCACAAACTCCCCCAACCCACCCTCCAAATAGATTTACATTTGTAAATATATCTATAAAACATTGCCCAACTGATCTCTGTATATGCAGTGGCGTTTCATTTTAATAGCAGAAGATCACTATTTTGGGTACTTTAATGAGAGAATTCGGGGTTCTTAGCAGAGTATTTGCAATTTGTAAACAGGGAACACCAGGATCTCTGCTGGTGAGACAAATGACGAGACCCAGGCAGAGGAGCCTGTCCAGGGCCAGCACTGGGGACCCAGCTGGAGAGCGGATGGGGTGGCTGACCTCTTGGCCAGTTGAATGCTTTGACAGTTGAAAGCGGGCCAATGAAAGGACCACATCTTCTGGACAACAGCTGCCCAGATGGCAGAGTGGGGGCACCCCATCCAGGTCTGGCAGGCATGCAGCCATGGGGCCACAGGTCCAAGGGGGTGTATACTGTCTGTCACAGGTGGCAGCAGCCCCCACTGCCAGACTGCTGAAGTGGGGAGAGGGTGCAGGGGCTGCTTCAGGTTAGGGCTGCTTCAGCAGTCCAGCTGGCACAAGGGGTAGTGCCCCCAGATACTAAGTGGCTGGGCCTCAGAAGCTCCTGAGGACAAGTTGCCCTGAGCTGCTCACCAGGGCATGATTTTATATTGTTGGGGCCAGCACAGGGAAGGTTTTTATACTCTAGCTCCCTCTGGCTGCAGATCCGGGAGGAGCTGGGCAGGGTCATTTTGCCCCAAGTGACAAAACTTGCCTCACACCGAAGTGCATGTCCAGGCACATGCGCTGAGGCAAAAATCTCCGGCATTAATCTGTGCTGCTCCTATTTGAGCTGCTGCAAGTGCATGTGCCTGTATGTGTGGACATGCCCTATGTGGATCAACCACTAGAGGGGAATGAGACACACATCTTTGTCAGTGGGTCTCTCAGATCTTTGCTGACTGCAGAGAAATACTGAAACTCAAAAGCTCCGAAAAGGAGTATGTCCACTGGTTATACAACTCTTCCTTCCCTGCCTGTCATCCCCCTGCATTTAAGTCAGACATCTTCCTCTGGCACACAGTCAAGATCCCAGCAAGGGGATAAAAATGTGTGCGCCCATGCATACACAAACCATTTTCCCCTCTGCCCTCTTCTCCTCCTCCCTCCAAAAAGGACTGTTTCCTTGCTTCCTGTTCACATAATTGGCATGAGAGTTGCCCCCAGTATTTAGGAAGAACAATTTCAAGGGAAGTCCTGCTCGGCCCTTGCAACCTTGGGACAAAGAATGCTCCATTGCTGTTTGGGGTGGCGCACAGGAGTGGAGAGAAAATGAAAACGTCTGCACTGGGTATGCTCCAAAGAATTTGGCTGCCACAATCTAACAAGCCCCTCTAAAGTAGCTGCAAACTGTGATTTCTAGAGATCTGTTGCTCAGCAAAATGTCCACAAGCATAGCCCTGACACCAGCCCAATTACAAGTTCTGGCATCAAAGCATAACAGCTACATGTGCATGTTACAGGAGTATTACCTTATATTGATTCGCACATAAAATACTGAATAAATAAAGCTGACTCTGAAAGAAAACAAGAATTCTATATTTTTAAGATTTCTTAAAAAAAAAAAAAAAAAAGAAAGAAAAGAAAAGAAAAGAAACAAAACCCTTCACTCCACACCAAGGGCACACCAACAAGTAATAGTAGGCAGCACCCATTGATACTTCTGGATCATGGTATATATGTGAGAGGTCACCAGGACCTACAACATGTACACCCAGGCAGGAGTATGGAGGAGTAGAGGCTGCCCAGACCTTCCCCCCCGCTCTTTAGACTATTGAGACAGCCTCCCAGAGAGTCTGGATATTCAGTGCCTTGATGGCTGTAATTATATACATGTCCAAGAACTGAATCCAGGTCTTCCACGTGGCAAACAACGTGGGAGACTCACTAGCAAAGGTGCAACTGGAAAGTTCTGCAACTTGGGGGGTGATGGCACACTATTGGGGACAACAATTTTTGCACCCCCTGGTGGCAGAGTCACACCCCCAGCTCCTTAGTTATGCTAATACCATCTAGTATGTGTAACTGTACCATAAATCTGTAGGCAGTGAAGTTGGCATACAGAATTGCAGTAGAAATGAACATTTGTCTTATTTTCAGCAGCTAGAAACTTGATAGTATTGAATATGAAACCACTTTACTGTGCCTAGAAAATAAAAATTGGGGGGTGTCTTTATATGTGCACCAGGGTGCGGGGGTGGAGGGACTGTTTTAATTAGAGTGGTTCTTAGGAGCTGCCATAATTGAAACACCCTCAGTGCCTCATGTATTCAGCATCCTGCACTTCCAAATGGCCACAGGATTGCTTTAACTAAAGCTCGTTTTAATGCCTCTGTCACCATTTTGAAACACGGGGACACTGAATACATGCAAGACCAAGGCTGCTGGAGTGTTCTAATTAGAGTGCGCCAACAGATTTGATTCATCAAGTCTGCTCTGATGTGTTCTAATTACAATACATTGGAGCAAGCATCAGGCACGGGCCCTGAACGACCAACTAGCTTCTTTGCCATAGTTTCTGTAAGATCAGAAGCCATAGTTGGATTGTAACTGGTCATGTGCCCATTACTTAGTATAGGCAACATTTAAATTGATGTTTTTGAACAATATGCTTCTAAAAACAAAATGAAGAAAAGACTGTTAGCAGATCCCCAGCATTTACTCTTTCCACAAGGTAATTTATACCTTTAGTCATTTTTTTCCTTTGAAAGCTCTGACAAAAATAGTTTTCAGCTCAGAACTATGCAGCATTCACACACTCAAGACAAAGACGTGACAGTGAACAGCTTTTTGCCTCTCCGTTTTTCCTTTTATTTTCAGTTTTCTAGGGGCAGGTCAAGTCCCAAGGACACATTTTAAAAAAAATCTGCTCCTTATTAAAAAATAAAGGCTGCTCCAATAAATTAATCTGAAATTTATAACACACAAGAAGTATTTCCTCCTAATAAACCTTCCACCCACTAACATCTCATGGCTCTTTCCTCCCCCACTCTTCACTGCCCATTAAATAGCTGAACAAATGCCAATACTTGTGTAATAGTTGACTAATTTACTGTGGGACCAAAGAACTTTGTCTAAGAGTTGAAGGTTAAAATGCCCATAGGACCTGGAGCCAAGTTATTCCCTGGTTTCCATCTCTTGTAACTCTATTCACCTTATTTGGGTTCCATTGGATATATGTCAATGCACAATTTGGCTGTTAGAGCTCAGCCAATTACTCAACAAGTAGATACAAAAACATGTATTCTTCCTTTATAGTACTAAAAGTACTCAGCAGTGAAAGCACACTCTTCCATTTCCCTCCCCTCCCCACTCTTAACTGTCTAAGAAATGAATATGGATTTGACAGTACTTCACTGAGCCAGATCTAAGCATGGACATAGATTTATGTGCTTTCAAAAATACACTTACTTCCATATGGACTGAAAGCATCCCTATTTCTGGTCTTTGTCTGTCTATACTTGTCTACACTCTCAAACATACATGGGTTTCAAGATGAGCACAAAGAGGAACATAATATAAGAAAATATTTATGCAACCTCAGATCCCTTGCATGGTTTAAGTCAGGGGTTTTCAAACTTTTTAAAGGAGCGTACCCCTTCTGGGTACACTTCTGGTGGAGTGAGGTGTGGGGGGGATCACGGTGTTTGGACGTGAAGTGGTGGGGCATGAATATGGCAGCGGTGCAGGGAGGTGGATGGCAGCGGCCGCTTGCGAGCTCC